CAAATGGGAACGGATTGGCTGAAATGGAGTCTGGACCACACTCAGTCCTTTGCTCTGGTTGGCCAACAGAAGAGATGGAGGCTTTCTGTCAGAGTATTTGAGAAAGAATCTGTAAACAATAATTCTAGTTCTCTGTCGGCCCTGCGTGGTTTTTCAGTGAGCCCGTATACGAACCTTCATACTTATCATACATACATTTTGCATATAATAAATTAAGCTTGGATTGAAGATCTCTTGATTCTTATTCCAATACCAGATTTGAATTACGCAATTTCTAACACTATTTAGCTCACATAATATAATTTACAATTACGTAATAGAATAAACGTGTCAAAAACGAATGTAGACATTAATACATGCATTTCCATAGTGCCAAGATGGCTGCACTGTGGCTTCAATACAGCTCCCCCTGTTAGTCATCTAGGGTTTATACACAGTTACAGTAAGCATGAAGCAACATTACAGCCATCATCAATACTTAAATAAAAAATAAGCAATCGTCAGTTTTATAACTGAAAATGTACAATTATTTGTGTAAAACTAACAGTGAAATATGACTCAGACTCATACTCTGGCTTAAAACATATTGTCCAAACTCTTGCGGTATGATAGCTCAATGTAGGGTAAGAAACAGAAGAAAAAAACACAGCTCAATCAAAAACCATCTACCCTACACCCCACTCACAGATAAAACAACGAGACAGATATTTCACCGGATGTATAAATGTAAAGCATCCGGTTGACGTTTCCACTCACTACCAAATATGGAAACCCAATGGACGGCAGTGGGACAAGATGGAACGAGATGGATTTTGGCTGACATTCTGCTCATTTACTCATCGATGAAACATTTGATCTCAATACAGTTTTCTGTACCCAAAACTACAATCTGTTACGAACGCGCCAATAGGATCTCACTAGCTCGTGCTTGGCTCTGCCCATCTCCTTGCTTGTTCTGCCCACTATGGCTAGTTTGTTCCCATTTGAAACGACAGGCCACAGGGTCTATCTAGGTTTAGTGATACAAATCTTTGCCCCACTCCTTTCCACACGCCCACTACTTTCCTTTCGACACACCCACTCGCTCATACTCCGGTCGCCATATTGCGATGCAGCTACCCCTTCTCCGTCCAGCTACCCCTTCTCCGTCCAGCTACCCCTCAGATAGAACAACATAGCTCAGGCAGTAGGAAGCGCTCTCATCCATTTATATACAGATGATACAGTCTTATACTCACCTGACCCCTCTCCGGATTTTGTGTTAAACGCTCTACAACAAAGCTTTCTTAGTGTCCACCAAGCTTTCTCTGCCCTTAACCTTGTTCTGAACACCTCCAAAACAAAGGTCATGTAGTTTGGTAAGAAGAATGCCCCTCTCCCCACTAGTGTGATTACTACCTCTGATGGTTTAGAGCTTGAGGTAGTCACCTCATACAAGTACTTGGGAGTATGGCTAGATGGTACACTGTCCTTCTCTCAGCACATATCAAAGCTGCAGGCTAAGGTTAAATCTAGACTTGGTTTCCTCTATCGTAATCACTCCTCTTTCACCCCAGCTGCCAAACTAACCCTGATTCAGATGACCATCCTACCTACGCTAGATTACAGAGATGTAATTTATAGATCGGCAGGTAAGGGTGCTCTCGAGCGGCTAGATGTTCTTTACCATTTGGCCATCAGATTGGCCACCAATGCTCCTTATAGGACACATAACTGCACTCTATAATCCTCTGTAAACTGGTCATCTCTGTATACCCGTCGCAAGACCCACTGGCTGAAGGTTATCTATAAAACCCACTTAGGCCTCACTCCCCCCTATCTGAGATACCTACTGCGGCCCTCATCCTCCACATACCACACCCGTTCTGCCAGTCACATTCTGTTAAAGGTCCCCAAAGCACACATCCCTGGGTCGCTCCTATTTTCAGTTCGCGGCAGCTAGCATTTTTTTAGATTACATTTTAGTCATTTAGCAGACGCTCTAATCCAGAGCGATTTACAGTTAGTGAGTGCATAAATGTTTCATACTGGCCCCCCGTGGGAATCGAACCCACAACCCTGGCGTTGCAAACGCCATGCTCTACCAACTGAGCTACACGGGGCAATAAAACCTTGCCTGGAAATGCAAGATGACTATAAGTACGATTAGCAGTCATACATTCTGTAGCACTCGACTGCTCCACATTGAACGGCCCACTTCTTTCAGACAAATGATGCAGTAGTGCGGCTGTAGTAATAACAAAATAATACAAAAATAACAGCAAATATGATCACAAGAGGGGAAAAAAACGAACACGCTTCACTTCAGAGTTCTGGTGCTGATAGGAACATGTTCTTTCCAAACTCTAAAAGCTAGGACTACGAATACTACATTGATCAAATACTCCAAGTGCAAGATATGTCCACAGTCCACTATCTTACCTAGATAGAAACAACTATGTTCTCAAAAATAAAAACGACTTCAGGCCAAACTGAGCTGCTTTGAACTTGTGGTCAAGTTCCTGGAGAATGTCAAGTTCGTGGCAGGGGAGTACTTCAAGTGTTTAAGTAACTATTGTTCAAATTCACACTCAACCCAATCACTCTCACACACACACACACACACAAAATACAATATATTCGCATAGTGGTCCTAAGGTTACTAATAGTATAGCCTGTACGACCTACATGGACCAGCCTAGAAACACATTTGGGCCATGGCTGCCCTAAAGACACAGGTAGTAACATCTGGACCAGGGATAAAGCACACCAACCACTGGTCCACCAGAAACATAAGAGCCAAGCTATCAATAGGAAAATAAAAGGAAACCAAAAAGGAAACCGGAGGCATCAACTTTCACTGCATGACAAGCAGAAACATATTAAGATTAAGGAGTCACTAGACTTTTAAAAATACAGTTCATAGATTTAGTACAAAGGTACTAAAATGTATTGTAAGTTTAACATCTGAGTAATGCATGACTTAAAAGTCACCCCTTCAAAATAAAAGCTTGTCTAAGATTACCCCAAAAATATTCAGGTAAAGTCATGAGGAAAGCCAGCCAAAGCCTCGCGGGGGAAATAGACACACACTCTTCAACCTCTATCTTGGAAATGCATATATTCAAGCAGCAATACAAAAAAATATCCATGAAGTAAATATGCATATTCTCTGAAAAAAACAAAATAATGTATGAAAACATCCCTGTTATCATGTCTCTAAATACAAAACTTCTACCAATAACTTGCTTCAGTGTAACAAGAGAAGTCATTTTTCCTCTTTTTTGGTATTTTTATCAGTCCTTTCAAAACAGGTTAAAATGTCAGTCCTCAGGTGTGAATGGTATGGATGACTCTCTTCTTTTCCTCGTTAAAATCCTTTTCTTTTTTTTCTCTCATATACTTGAAGAAGTTGTAAGCATGCAAGCCTCATAGAGTGGGCAGAGGCGCTGACGGGGCGGGCTAGTGGTGGTGCTAAAGTCTTAGGCCAGGGCCGGGAAGGCCTCTGGGTCGTCAACGTTGGGAACGGACAATCCACCCGGCTTTTCGGGTCGGACTCCCCCGGCCCGAGCCGGACAGTCGGATCGGCCTCCTCCTCCACCGCGGCCTCCCCTTCCTCCACGGGCTCCCCTGCGCCCACGCCCAGGGCGGCCCAGGTCTCCAAAGTTGATCTCCAGCTGGGCCGTGATGTCGTTGGCGGGCTTGCGGAAGTGGTGGTCCGGGCCGATTTCATCAGGGTTTCCCTTGAAACGGGGGGTCATGTCTGCTTCAATCTCTGGAGTATCAATCACAGCTGGTCTGTCTTTAGGCTTTTCGTCGCTGACATCTTCACTCTTGGACTTGTGCAGCACGTAGCCCTTGTTCCACTTGCTGTCGGCGCCCTCATTGGGCTTGCGGATGTTGAACTCCACCTTGGCACGCTCCTTGTCCTGCATGGCCTTCCATTCGTCCAGGGTCATCTCCTTGGGGCCCTTCTCCTTACGTTCCTCTACTTCGTTCTCTAGCGACTGGAACGAGCTGCAAAAAACACTCAAACTGGACAGTTTTATCTCCATCTCTTCATTCAAAGACTAAATCATGGACACTCTTTCTGACAGTTGTGGCTGCTTCGCGTGATGTATTGTTGGACCCGTCTCTCCTGACGGAATTCCATCGTGGGAACCCGACGCACCCTGCTCCGCGTCCTCCTGGTCGTCCCCGAGGCCGGAGTCGGCGCACGTCTGGAGCCGCGCGTCAAGGGGGGGGTACTGTCACGGTTTCGGCCGAGGCTGCCTCTCTTCCTTGCTCGGGCAGGCTTCGGCGTTCGTCGTCTCCGGAATACTAGCTGCCACCGTTGCATGTTTCTATGTTCGTTTGCTTTTGTCTGATTGTTGTTACACCTGTTATCGTTTAGTGTAATTAGTGTCCTATAAGTTCTCGTTGTGTTTGTCTAGTGTTGTGTGTTATTGTTTTACTGTCGTGCCGGTAGGCTGTCATTCTACTGTTTGCTCGGTTGAGCCAATTTCTCCATTTGTTTGGAGTGTTTTGTCGCACCTGTTAGTGCGCCCGTTCTTTTCGCCTACGTGCGGAGTTTTCGCCTCAGGGCATTTATTCGTGATTGTTTTGTGTGCCTCTACTAAAGTCTGTTGGACTAACGTTCTGCGTCCTGCGCCTGATTCTACCACCACACCCACTTACATCTACCTTGACAGAATAACACACCTTTAGAATGGAATCAGCAGGAGCCGCAGCAGCACAGGCGACGTTGGAGGACAGGGTCCGCGAACAAAATGACCAGATCCTGCGGATGGGGTCCGCACTGCAGGAGGTGATCACCACCATCCGAGGCTGGGAAACCCGAGGGACTCCTCCACCGCCAGCCTCCCTGCCCGCACCATCGGCTATTCAGCCCATTCCCGCTCCGGAACCCAGAGGAGTTCGACTCTCGCTCCCGAGGGCCTACGATGGGACCGCGGCCGGGTGTCAGGGATTCCTTCTCCAGGTGGAGCTTTACCTGGCCACCGTGCACCCGGCGCCCTCGGGACACGAGAGCGTGTCCGCCCTGATCTCCTGCCTTTCCGGGAAGGCGTTGGAATGGGCCAACGCAGAGTGGAGGAGAATCGACGCTAACACCATCACCTACGACGAGTTCTCCCGCCGCTTCAGGGCGGTGTTTGACCATCCCCTGGAGGGGAAAGCGGCGGGGGAGCGTCTGGTCGGCCTCCGGCAGGGGAAGAGGAGTGCCCAGGAGTTCGCCTTGGAATTCCGTACTCTAGCGGCGGATGCAGGGTGGAATGAGCGGGCTCTCATCGATCACTACCGGTGTAGTCTACGCGAGGACGTCCGTAGGGAGCTGGCCTGTAGGGACACCAGCCTCTCGTTCGACCAGTTGGTCGACATGTCCATCAGGCTGGATACCCTGCTAGCTACCCGCGGACGTCCCGAGGGGGGTCCGTCCATTTCACCCTCCAGCGCCTCCGAGCCATGCCCCATGGAGCTCGGGAGCGCTGGCGCTAGAGAGAGGAGGGGTCGGCTTACGAGGGGGTCCATCTCCTGCACCAACTGTGGTCGGGGAGGACACACCGCGGCTAGGTGCTGGGGATGGCCTCCTAGGGGAGAGGACGACAGGTCCCGCACTGGGGAGTCCTTCCAGGTGAGTAGGCGCCCCACTCACCCAGAGCTCTCTGTTGCACATTTCTGTATACCTGTGCGTTTTCCACAGGTAGCACCTCATTCCCAGCATAAGGCGCTGGTAGATTCAGGCGCGGCTGGGAATTTTGTTGATAAGAAGTTTTGTTTAGCCTTAGGGATTCCCCTTCTCCCTGTTGACGTTCCCTTCCCCGTTCATGCCCTAGATAGCCGTCCGTTGGGTGCGGGCTTGATCAGGGAGGTCACTGCGCCACTTAGGATGTGTGCGCAGGGGGGTCATCAGGAGATGATCCAGCTATTTCTGATCGACTCGCCTGCGTATCCGGTGGTGCTGGGCATGCCCTGGTTGAGTACCCATAACCCATCTATTTCGTGGCAGGAGAGGGCTCTGATGGAGTGGTCTGCCCAGTGTGTGGGTCGATGTTTAGGCGTTTCTGTAGGGGCTACCTCGGTGGAGAGTCCAAACCAGGTGCCCGCATTGCACGTTCCCCCTGAGTATGGGGATTTGGCTATTGTGTTCAGTAAGTCGAGGGCGACGCAGTTGCCTCCCCATAGGCAGGGAGATTGTGCGATAGACCTCCAGGCAGGAGCTGCGCTCCCACGGAGCCATGTGTATCCTCTGTCTCAGGAGGAGAAGAGAGCTATGGAGACGTACATAGACGAATCTCTGAGACAAGGATACATACGGCCCTCCACTTCCCCTGCGTCCTCGAGTTTCTTTTTTGTGAAGAAAAAGGATGGAGGATTACGCCCGTGCATTGATTACCGTGGTCTCAATCAGATCACGGTGAAGTACAGTTATCCACTCCCGCTGATTGCGACCATGACGGAGTCATTGCACGGGGCGCGTTTCTTCACTAAATTAGATCTCAGGAGCGCGCACAACTTGGTGCGCATTAGGGGGGGCGATGAATGGAAGACAGCCTTTAGCACCACCTCGGGCCATTACGAGTATCTTGTCATGCCATACGGGTTGATGAATGCTCCTTCAGTTTTCCAATCATTCGTGGATGAGATCTTCAGGGACATGCAGGGACAGGGTGTGGTCGTGTACATCGATGACATTCTTGTGTACTCGCCTACCCGAGTCGAGCATGTGGCCCTGGTGCGCCGAGTGTTGCGGAGGCTGTTGGAGCACGACCTGTATGTCAAGGCAGAGAAGTGTCTGTTCTTCCAGGAGTCGGTCTCCTTTTTGGGTTATCAGTTGTCTGCGTCAGGGGTGAAGATGGAGGTAGACCGGGTGTCAGCCGTGCGTAATTGGCAAACGCCAACCACTGTGAAGGAGGTGCAGCAGTTTTTGGGGTTTGCGAATTATTACCGGAGGTTTATCCGGGGTTTTGGACAGGTGGCAGCTCCCATAACGTCTCTTTTGAAGGGGGGTCCGGTGCGTCTGCAGTGGTCAGCCGAGGCGGACAGGGCGTTTGGGAGGCTGAAGGACCTGTTTACCTCGGCTCCGGTGCTGGCGCATCCGGATCCCTCTTTGCCATTTCAGGTAGAGGTGGACGCGTCAGAGGCCAGTATAGGAGCCGTGCTGTCGCAACGGTCCGGAGCGCCACCTAAACTCCGCCCCTGTGCTTTTTATTCCAAGAAGCTCAGTCCGGCGGAGCGAAACTATGACGTGGGGGACAGGGAGCTGTTAGCCGTGGTACAGGCCCTAAAGGTGTGGAGGCACTGGCTTGAGGGGGCTCAACACCCTTTCCTCATTTTGACGGACCACCGCAACCTGGAGTACATCCGGGCAGCGAGGAGGCTGAACCCTCGCCAGGCGAGGTGGAATATGTTTTTGACCCGGTTCACATTTAAGATCACGTACATCCCTGGGTCACAGAACGGTAAGGCAGACGCACTGTCTCGGCGGTATGACACGGAGGAGAGGTCCGTGGAGCCCACTCCCATACTGCCGGAGTCGTGTCTGGTGGCACCGGTAGTGTGGGAGGTCGATGCCGAACTCGAGCGGGCGTTACGCACCGACCCTAGTCCACCTCAATGCCCGGAGGGTCGGAAGTACGTTCCGCTCGAGGTTCGGGATCGATTGATCTATTGGGCTCACACGTCACCCTCCTCTGGACACCCTGGTATCGGCCGGACAGTGCACTGTCTTAGTGCCAAGTACTGGTGGCCCACGTTGGCGAGGGATGTGAGGGTTTATGTTTCCTCCTGCTCGGTGTGCGCCCAGTGTAAGGCGCCTAGACATCTGCCTAGGGGTAAGTTACTACCCCTGCCCGTTCCACAACGACCATGGTCTCACCTCTCGGTGGATTTCCTCACTGACCTTCCTCCTTCACAGGGGAATACCACTATACTGGTCGTTGTGGACCGGTTTTCTAAGGCCTGTCGTTTGCTCCCTATGCCGGGCCTTCCTACTGCCCTGCAAACCGCCGAAGCATTATTCACCCATGTGTTCCGGCACTACGGGGTACCTGAGGATATTGTGTCTGATCGAGGTCCCCAATTTACCTCCAGAGTCTGGAGGGCTTGAGAGAGTAATGGGCAGGTGGAACGCGTGAACCAGGATGTGGGTAGGTTTCTTAGAACATACTGCCAGGACCGGCCGGAGGAGTGGGCAAGGTACGTTCCCTGGGCCGAAATGGCCCAGAATTCCCTACGCCATTCCTCCACTAACCTAACCCCTTTCCAAAGTGTGTTAGGTTACCAGCCGGTTCTGGCACCTTGGCAGCAGAGCCAGATCGAGGCTCCTGCGGTGGATGAGTGGGCGCGGCGCTCGGAGGAGACATGGAACGCTGCACACGTCCACCTGCAGCGGGCCCTCCATCGTCATAAGGCGAGCGCCGATCTCCACCGCAGTGAGGGACCAGTGTACGCACCTGGTGATCGAGTCTGGCTCTCTACCAGAAACCTGCCCCTCCGCCTGCCCTGTCGGAAACTGGGTCGGCGGTTTGTAGGGCCATTTAAAGTCCTGAGAAGGTTGAACGAGGTGTGTTACAAATTACAACTACCTGTTGAGTATAAAAGTATTAACCCCTCGTTCCATGTGTCTCTTCTCAGGCCGGTGGTAGCTGGCCCACTCCAAGAAAGTGAGATCAGGGAGACTCCTCCGCCCCCATTGGACATCGAGGGGGCACCGGCGTACTCCGTGCGGTCCATCTTGGATTCGAGACGTCGGATGGGGGGTCTCCAATATCTAGTGGAGTGGGAGGGGTACGGCCCGGAGGAACGGTGCTGGGTGCCGAGGAGAGACACACTGCATGGCCTTCCATTCGTCCAGGGTCATCTCCTTGGGGCCCTTCTCCTTACGTTCCTCTACTTCGTTCTCTAGCGACTGGAACGAGCTGCAAAAAACACTCAAACTGGACAGTTTTATCTCCATCTCTTCATTCAAAGACTAAATCATGGACACTCTTTCTGACAGTTGTGGCTGCTTCGCGTGATGTATTGTTGGACCCGTCTCTCCTGACGGAATTCCATCGTGGGCACCCGACGCACCCTGCTCCGCGTCCTCCTGGTCGTCCCCGAGGCCGGAGTCGGCGCACGTCTGGAGCCGCGCGTCAAGGGGGGGGTACTGTCACGGTTTCGGCCGAGGCTGCCTCTCTTCCTTGCTCGGGCAGGCTTCGGCGTTCGTCGTCTCCGGAATACTAGCTGCCACCGTTGCATGTTTCTATGTTCGTTTGCTTTTGTCTGATTGTTGTTACACCTGTTATCGTTTAGTGTAATTAGTGCCCTATAAGTTCTCGTTGTGTTTGTCTAGTGTTGTGTGTTATTGTTTTACTGTCGTGCCGGTAGGCTGTCATTCTACTGTTTGCTCGGTTGAGCTAATTTTTCCATTTGTTTGGAGTGTTTTGTCGCACCTTTTAGTGCGCCCGTTCTTTTCGCCTACGTGCGGAGTTTTCGCCTCAGGGCATTTATTCGTGATTGTTTTGTGTGCCTCTACTAAAGTCTGTTGGACTAACGTTCTGCGTCCTGCGCCTGATTCTACCACCACACCCACTTACATCTACCTTGACATCTACCTTCTTGCCCTTTGTGCTGTTGTCTGTGTCCAATAATGTTTGTGCCATGTTTTGTGCTGCTACCATGTTGTGTTGCTACCGTGCTGTGTTGCTGCCATGCTATGTTGTTGTCTTAGGTCTCTCTTTATGTAGTGTTGTGGTGTCTATCTTGTCGTGATGTGTGTTTTGTCCTATATTTTGTTTGTTTGTTTATTTTTCATCCCAGCTCCCATCCCTGCAGGAGGCCTTTTGCCTTTTGGTAGGCCGTCATTGTAAATAAGAATTTGTTCTTAACTGACTTGCCTAGTTAAATAAAGGTTCAACTAAAAATAAACAAGCTATTCAAATCGTAGTTATAAAAAATATTTGGCTACCCCCTTCTTGCGTTCCTGTTTCAATTCAGTTGCCCTCGGATGACTCTGGGGTATCGGGTTACATATGCACAGCCATTGGAGGCTCGGGAGTCCCACCTTAATGCTAATTCGCTGATCGGAGTGTCCGACAATTTGTGGCGGAACGGTATATCACAGGCACTTAACCGCACAGCGCTGCAAAGGTGACACTATAGTAGTCACATCACTCTACGACAAACAAACATCTATTTATATCTAATTGATTTTTTAAAAAATTTGAAGATGTGAAACAAAACCACTTTGTGTTCATCACGAGAGGGACAAAAATGATATTAGATGACAGCTGAGATTGTGACGAATCAGTAGACTCGCTAGCCAACTCTGTGGTACGTTCACAGGGGGAGGGTCGTCACTAGTTACTACAGCCACATAGTCGTAACCCCCTGCCTATTTCTACAATTTATCTTCTTACATTTGGATTTTAAACCTAACATTAACCCTAACCCTAACCTTAACCACACTGCTAACCTTATACCTATCCCTAACCTTCAATTATGACAAAAAGCACGTTTTTGTTTTCATACATTTTTACTATATAGCCAAATTTGACTTTGTGACTGTGCTATTGGGGGGGAGAGTTTTGTGGAGGAGACCAGAATCAGGAATGACGTCGGGCGATTAGGGACTATGTGGCGGACCACATTTTTTCCGATGGAAGACGCAGGCCAAGATGTCGACACAAGTCCAGAGGATAGAATAGACGCCGGAGGGAGCAATGAAGAGGTAATTGTGGACTGTGAGGCCAAGGATAGAAAGGAGGGGGAAAATGGAGTCCTTTGAGAAGGCAAGAAATTGATATTGGTAGGGAGAAATGCAGTATTATCATAAGGAGATGTATACTTGGATGAATGAGGAGGAATAGAGGTAAAAAGAGAGGCAGAGGTGGTCTAAGAGAGAGAGGGAGGAAGACTGTGAGTTTGAGTCAGTTAAAAATGGCGGGAAAAAGGGAGAAGGTTTGTTAAAGAAGAGTGGTAGGAAATGTAAGCAAAGTGAGCTGAAGACAGGAGGAGAAATGGAAGAGGGTGAAGTATCGGAGGTGGTAGGTGTGGTGAAGTGCTCGGAGCCAGAGGCTTGCGCAGAGGGTCAGGATAAAGATGAGTCTGTGACAGTAGGAATGAAGTTTGTGGAAAAAGTGGATCCTCGCCTTTTGGCTGATCCATTTGTGGTTTCAAGATGGGTAAAAAAGCGTTGGGTATAGTGGAATCGGTGAGGGTAACCAGAAGTGGTCTGGTGATAATTGTTTGTGTTTCTGCTAGCCAGAGGGAGCAGGCGCTCCGTGTTAAACAAATGGGGGAAAGAGATGTGAATTGTTTTGCTCTCAAGAAAAGGGTGCCATTGAGAGGAGTGATTACTGGGGTAGCAGTAAATGTAAAAGTGGATCAACTAAAGGAGATGATTCCCGGTGTGTGTGATGCTCGTCGTTTGGTGCGACGTAAACAGGGTGGCGAGAGTGGGGAAACAGAAGAGTCATTGTCTGTTCTTTTGAGTTTTGAAGTTGAGTCTTTGCCGGATAAAGTGAAGTTAGGGTATATAAGTTATCCTGTGCGAGCTTATGTGCCGAGTACATTACGATGTTACAGGTGTCAAACTTATGGGCACGTGGCATCAGTATGTAGGAGGGAGATTCCAAAGTGTGAGAAGTGTGCAGAAGGGCATGAGACTAAGGAGTGTGAAGCAGTGGGGAAAGTGGTGGTATGTGCTAATTGTAGGGGTGGCCATGGGGCTGGGGATCAGACATGTCCAGTGCGAGAGAAGCAGGTTGAGGTTTGCAGGGTAAGAGTAGAGAAGAAGTTGTCATATGCGGAGGCAGTGAAGAAAGTAGAGGAAGAGGGGTCAAGGGGGGGAGTGGTGAGAGTAGGAGATATGTACTAGTACAGTGGGATAGGCAAACAAGTGATATATGTTAAAGTAAGATTGGATTTTTAGCGTTTATAGCAATGGTTATTAATTGTTCTGCAGGGATGGAACGTAAATCGAAGGAAATTGAGGTTGTGGTGGCAGCTGCAGAGAGATATTTGGGTGTGCGAGACTTGACAGCAGAAGAGTTTCAGGGAGTGTTAAGTGGTGATGTCCCATCATTTCAGGTTGAGGGCATGAGGTAGGAGCAGTGGCGGCTCCTGAAAAAATTCTCAGGGGGGGCAATTTTTCTGATGATTTAGGTGACCTACACACATTTTAAAAAAGATATGTCCAGCAACAACATGAAGACAGGGGCAGCATATAAGTCAATACCAGAAGCATTTATTGACTGATCTCAAAAGTGTTGGCTTACCAGGGTTGGTGGAGCCCTCAGTTTCATCTTTGCCTCGCAAAGCTAACTCAAACACTCCGCAAAACTTCACACACTGGATTAGCCGGCTGAGGATGTGGCGGTTCTTGCTAATGTCGTAGTAAATATATTTGTTATAGTGAATATGGAATATGATATGTTGAGTAAAATGTTGTGCTAAGATCTATTTAGGTCAGGAGCTGGTTATAAGTTCTGTTCCTATCCAATAACAATGGACAAAAGGGTCCTATCTTGTCAGCCTTGTCAGCAGGTGGCCAAGGACAACACCCACGCCATAGGCCTCTCAGTTCTTCCAACTCACGAGTTCTTGCTCTGAGGACACACACACACACACACACAAACACACACACACACACACATCATCACTGTTAAACACACACACACACACACACACACACACACACACACACACACATCATCACTGTTAAACACACACACACACACACACACACACAAAAATCCCCTCTCTTAGGCTGAACATTTGAAGACAGAGAACCCGACTCAGAGCCAATGCAACAGTGACAGTAGCCTGGAGGGGACCTCGCCCAACTCATCAGGACCAATCAGAAGATCAGAACTACTAGATTCAACCTACTTCATTTATTGCATAAAATGTCTGCACACAATGTTTCGGGGCTCTCTTCAGATAATAATAATAATAATATGCCATTTAGCAGACGCTTTTATCCAAAGCGACTTACAGTCATGCGTGCATACATTTTTGTGTATGGGTGGTCCCGGGATCGAACCCACTACCTTGGCGTTACAAGCGCCATGCTCTACCAGCTGAGCTACAGAAAGTGGATACTCATGGATGCGCATCGCAATTGTAAAATGTCAACACAATTGGAGACACCACGTCATTTTTGGAGACATGTTATTGACAGTAAACTATTGTAGATGCGACTGCTAACTAAATAAAACATTTTAGCTGGCTAGCTAATCATCTTAGCTAAATGTGGGGCAAACAATTCAGTTATTTACCGTTAATTTGAGGGATTGGGGTGAAAGAAATCGAGTTACATAGTGATACTTTACGATATACTGTATTGACAATATCGCAATATTTTAGCGCTAGTTGGCTGTACCTGCACCAAAACACCATTATTGTTCCTTCATAGCTTGTTCTCAATCTTTTCACATTGGGAGCCAATTTGTTTTCAGCACTTTTATTTCCATGACTGATCAAAACTCGTTCTCATGGCTTTCTGATCCCTCTGCAACAGACATATGGTGCGCAATAAAATCACAGTATCGAATCGCAATACGTATAGAATCATGAGACTCGCAATGCTGATGCATATATCTTATCGTGAGGTTCATGGCAATTCCCAGCCCAAGTTCATTTGCCACAACAAATCTCTTCGCTAGCAAACGCGATGTCTTCTCCAAAACGGCAATGTGTCTCCAGCAATGTTTACTTTTTTGACGTTCTATGGCATCTCCACTTTCCAAGCATATATGACCACATGTAATATTTTGGTAAGTGATGCAAATAGTGAACTATGTAGGGCCAGGATGTAAAATATATGTAGCTGCAGCAATTTCTCTTATCTGATATGGTAAGTAATGGGGCTTAATTTATAGCTCCCTAAGAGTTTGACGAACGGGTCCGTGCACGCGATTCCAGATATCTTTACCTCTGAATAAACTGCCTTTATTATACCATATCCACCCTGTCCAAAGTCTCTACTTGGTCTCAGTTCTCCAGTAAACTTGTGATTATCAACACTAACCTCATCGTTGTGGCGGCGGACAGCTAGCCTGTATCCCTCATCAAGTTGAGTGGCAATGTTATTTTTCCGTTCGTACCAATTTTTGGAAAATCCTCGGGTGTAGGACTTTCCGCCTTTAGTAGAAACCTGTTGAATTATTAAATTTGGTCTGGGAGGTCCTAATTGTTTCGTTGCCAATTTATCTTCATTTGTTCGCCGACAAAAAGGAACTTCTTTCAAAGACACAATCGAGTTGCACTGAAGCCTAGCCATGTTGATAGTAGTAGTGAATTGATTGAGGCTGCTACTCTCTCTTTTCTTAGTTACGTTCATGTGACGAAAGCGCGTAAGTGCAAGCCCTCAGACACCCATTGAGATTGTATTGAAGGCTCTGAAATTTGAAAAAAATAGATTTTACATGGGAGTCTATGACAGAAGTTCTGGGCGATTTTCAACCTGACTGAAATCGCCCCAAAAGGGGGGGGAGCCATTTGAAGCACGACTTTAGCCTGATTCGACATTTAGTGGCAGTGTGGCACTGTGGCAGATCAGACGTATAGATTACAACACTGATAACTACTGTTGCCGTGATATAATTGATTAGAAAAAAAATCCCTTCCTTTTCCCGTTTGGCAGTGCGTCGCCCATATCGCCCTATTGAACAGGCCGCCCCTGGGTAGGAGTGAGTATATATAAATAGTGGAGAAGGGTGGGGTTAATTATTAGTAGTAGTTTTGAAGTTGTGAGTGTAGTGTTAGATGGTAGGATATTTCTTTGCTTTGTTTTATTTTATTTTTCAAGAAATGATAAGGGAGATGTACTCCAGTCTAGTAGGTGGCGGTAATGCAACAAATTGGATGCCAACCGCCGTTAAACCTCATTGAAGAAGAAGAAGAAGAAGCAAAAGAAGACTGCGCTATCTAGTGGAAACCCAGGGGGAGACAACAACGAATTTGAGCATTGCACCAGGAAATGAGTCACATTTTCCCAGACCATTATATATAAAACATTCTTACAGTAATAATGCTCCTGAAATCTTATATATTGTAAAGTTGATTGTGAGTATATGTAGATAATTTAAAACGTGTTAAACCCTATTCTGCCATTTTTCATGAATAGGTTGTTCATAGCATATGAAAATGAAATCTACAGTGTACTATTGTTCATACTATTTACTATTGAGTACCACAGTATGAGTCATAAAACCCGGAATTGGTTCCAATAGTTTTTTCACCATTCATTTTTCCATCTGGGATTTTAGAACTACTTCATATAAGTCTGTGTTTCGTGTAGGCTGACCGTGGCATGACGAAAACCAAGCAAATCTCTCTCGGACAAGGTGACTTTTATCAATAATTAGCATTGCAAATTTGAGAGTAAATTGAGATGAATTCATTGATCAAACTCACCTTGTCCGAGAGAGAATTACACGGCTATCAAAAAGTCATGCCAAGGTAAGCCTACACCAAACACACAATTAATTATACTTTTTATTTGTGTATTCACGATGTGAAAAATGAATGGCGGGAAAACCATTTCTGTGTTTTTATGGGTATTATGACGTGACAACTGTGGCGGACTATAGCAGTGCATAAAATCATAGTTAAATAATGAATACAGAAAAAAAGCACAAAATCAGAGCTTTCTAACAGTATAAGTACTGTTCATGGCAATCTCATGAAGATATGTTTTATACGGCCATCCACTTAACATTAACGTTCAACAGGTTAAAATGACGCAGAATGATGACGAAATATTGGCGGAGTAGTAAAATTGGCACAGCAGAAATGACAAGTGTTACCAGTTCTTACATATTATATTTTTTTATGAGAGAACTACTGTTCTGACATCTTAAACATTGTGTATGATACAAAACCTAGAGATAGAGAGAAAGAGCTACACAGTAAAAAGTTCAGTCTAAGATTGTATTCTGTATAATGAATGTTATGAACAAACCTATCGGACGCTATACGGACCTAGTTGTGTGTGTGTGGGTAAATCCATTTGAATTCAATCACTTTTTGACAGCATCCCATTTGATTAAGCAAAGCTTTTCATACATGTTTGCCCATGGAAGAAGTGGTTAGAAAGGGACTTTTTGGACCTAAATTCTAAAACATTCAAGAGATAAAGGCGCTCAAAGTTGAGCCATTTTGCATACCCCACCATACCATGATACATCCATGTCTTCATCACTGGAGAAGATAAACAGTTGAGTTTGATATAATTTAAAAGCATACAAACAGGGTCAATCTATTTTAGAATAAAAAAAATAAAAACGTTCTATCCTTTAACATCAATTTTTTTTTTTTATGGATCTCTGATTTCTTTCTATATGTGCAAGGTACATCCAGAACCACAACACCCACAGTCATCTCTGTTTCTGTTTGTAGTCCTGATGTACAGTATCAGTCAAAAGTTTGGACCCACCTACTCATTCAAGGGTTTTTCTGTATTTATACTATATTCTACATTGTAGAATAATTGTGAAGACATCAACACTATGAAATAACACATATGGAATCATCTAGTAAACACAAAACTGTTAAACAAATATATTTTATATTTGAGATTCTTCAAATAGCCACCCTTTGCCATGATGACAGCTTTGCACACTCTTGGCATTCTCTCAACCAGCTTCACCTGGAATGCTTTTCCAACAATCTTGAAGGAGTTCCCACATATGCTGAGCACTTGTTGGCTGCTTTTCCTTCACTCTGCCGTCCGACTCATCCCAAACCCATCTCAATTGGGTGAGGTCGGGGGATTGTGGAGGCCAGGTCATCTGATGCAGCACTCCATCACTCTCCTTCTTGGTAAAATAGCCCTTACACAGCCTGCAGGTGTGTTGGGTCATTGTCCTGTTGAAAAACAAATGATTGTCCCACTAAACCTAAACCAGATGGGATGGCGTATCGCTGCAGAATGCTGTGGTAGCCATGCTGGTTAAGTGTGCCTTGAATTCTAAATAAATCACAGACAGTGTCACCAGCAAAGCACCCCCACACCATAACACCTCCTCCTCCATGCTTTACGGTGGGAAATACACATGCAGAGATCATCCGTTCACCCACACCGCGTCTCACAAAGACATGGCGGTTGGAACCAAAAATCTCAAATTTGGACTCCACTCTGCAGCAGAGGTAAATCTGGGTCTTCCATTCCTGTGGCGGTCCTCATGAGAGACAGTTTCATCGTAGCGCTTGATGGTCTTTGCGACTGCACTTGAAGAAACTTTCAAAGTTCTTGAAATGTTCCGTATTGACTGTCCTTCATGTCTTAAAGTAATAATGGACTGTTGTTTCTCTTTGTTTATTTGAGCTGTTCTTGCCATAATATGGACTTGGTCTTTTACCAAATAGGACTATCTTCTGTGTACCTCCCCTACCTTGTCACAACACAACTGATTGACTCAAACGCATTAAGAAGGAAAGAAATTCCACAAATTAACTTTTAAGAAGGCACACCTGTTAATTGAAATGCATTCCAGGTGACTACCTCATGAAGCTGGTTGAGAGAATGCCAAGAGTGTGCAAAGCTGTCATCAACGCAAAGTGTGGCTATTTGAATATAAAATATATTTTGATTTGTTTAACACTTTTCTGGTTACTAAATGATTCAATATGTGTTATTTCATAGTTTTGATGTCTTCACTATTATTCTACAATGTAAAAAATAGAAAAAATAAAGAAAAACCCTCAGTAGGTGTGTCCAAACTTTTGACTGGTAGTGTATCTGCAGTGACTTTCAGAGTCAACCTGTTTGTAGTCCATAGAATGCCATGTTTGTAGTCTGTTCCTCTCTAAGAAAAAGGTGTGAATGAGTTATCCTGTTTGTCATTGATAGAATACCATATTCATAGTCCATGAAAAATATGTGTAGTTCATGATATGCTGCCATGTTTGTAGTCCACAATATGCTGCCATGATTGTAGTCCATCCTGTTCTACCATGTTTGTAGTCCATTCCACTCTCAAAGGAAGATGTGGAAGACTCGTGACTTTCAGGCTCCTACTGTTGGGAATGTTCTGGACGGAGTACTTGATGGTTTTGTAGAACTTGGGACATGTTCCCAGGTGAGAGAGCGGCGAACGTCGCACTGTCCGGCAGTTGTTATGCATAGTCCAGAACCCGATGGAATAACGGGGTAGCATCTCGATGCTGACGGTGTGTTGCCCGGGCGACCACTGGGTCAGTCTGACAACTGTAACCATGGAGCCAAAGCCGCAGGAGTGACAAGTCACGCCACGAAACACGGACTCCTCGGGACATAGCGACACGCCCCTCTCCCACGATATACCTCCATCCTCCCCCCCCTCCCCCATGTCACCTAAGTTACACAGGGCCACAAGACACACACCCTCCAGAGCCTGGTTGCCTTTAAAACGCAGCAGGATTCCGACCAGCAGAGGGACCGCCCCCAAACACAACAACTGCTCCTGTTGACACCCTGAGAGAGAGAGAGAGAGAGAGAGAGAGAGAGAGAGAGAGAGAGAGAGAGAGAGAGAGAGAGAGAGAGAGAGAGAGAGAGAGAGAGATGTGTGAGAAAGGTTAAGGGTTTAGACTTGCAGCGTTAGAGATAAGGCTGTGGTCGAGGGTTAGGGGTCAGAGGTTAGCAATGACTCACGGCTGTCGTAGCAGATACGAGCGATAGCGTGGCCAGCATGTATCAGCAGCTCCTGATCCCTGGAGACCAGCACAGACAGCAGAGCAGACGACACCCCTGTCTCACCACACCTTTCCCTGATCACCGCTGACGGCAAGAGAAGCAGTGAATGACAACCATGAGAGAGAGAGAGAGAGAGAGAGAGAGAGAGAGAGAGAGAGAGAGAGTGACTTACTTTCTCTGGCCAGTTCTGACACCAGTTTAGCGGTCATTAGAGTAAGCGGTCCTCTCCTCCTAAGGGCTTGAGCCAGAGTAGGTAATACACCACTCACTGCCACCTGTTCCGCAGCCCCACGCTCTACACACCACACACACACACACACACACACACACACACACACACACACACACACACACACACACACACACACACACACACACACACACACACACACACACACACACACACACACACACACACACACACACACACACACACACACAAAGAGAGAGAGATTAAATGTACAGCATCATGTTAACAAGCGCAACACACACTATTTCCTGTATTCTCCCACCATTTACTTACAAGACATCCAGGCATGCATGTGAATACTGTGTATAGGTGACAGTGTTTGAATACTGTGTGTACCATGTATGTACATTGTGTATGGTTTGTTTACGTGTGTGTGAGTTTAAACCAGGCAGGTTAATCAGCACTGTGACATACATTTTACATTTTAGTCATTTAGCAGACGCTCTTATCCAGAGCGACTTACAGTTAGTGAATGCATACATTTTCATACTGGCCCCCCGTGGGAAACGAACCCACAAGCCTGGCGTTGCAAGCGCCATGCTCTACCAACTGAGCTACAGGGGACTACATGTGACCTTTTCACCTCTCCCTCACCTTTCCTCTCTCTCTCTCCCCCTCAGACACAAATACGGATTAGCGACTCTGTGTTTGTCCAATTGGTCACGCATCCAACTCTCCCTCTCTCAACCCTCTCATCCCTTCCTTAATTATCTCCCTTGGTCATCACTAGTTACCACAAAGTCATAAACCCTGCCTATTTCTATAATTGATCTTCTTAAAATGTGATTTCAAACCTAAACTTAAACACACTGCTAACCTTATGCCTAACCCTAACCTTAAATTAAGACCAAAAAGCAACTTTTTGTTTTCATGATTTATTATGATATTTTCACTTTGTGGCTGTGGTAACTAGTATAAACCCCTCCCTCCCGTCCTGTTTCACCTGCCTTCAACACTACAATGGCACTTGTGGAGAACAGACAAATCAATGAAGTTCTCTCTCGAAGGAAAGGACAAGTTTTTGTGTAATTTTTGTTTTGTTGGCAGGTAGTATACTCTTTGCTGTGGTCAGAGGTGCGTGTGGGAGTGTGTGTAACTCACGTTTTTCCTGTATGACAGTAAGTACTGTGTCCAGGTGTGGTCGGAGTTCATCCTCGATGAGATCAGTGCTGACCACAATGGCATCTAACGCATTAGTGAGAGCGTCTGAGAGGGAGAGGGAGGGCGAGAAGGAGATGATTGAATATGAATACTTCTTATACCAGCTCAAAAATATTGTAAGCTTGTTACGATCTCTCCCAAGTGGGTTAACCCTATTACAGCATTGGTTAACAAGTTTGGCTATGGGCTGCGAAACCTGGGGTCAAGACCCATCGACAGAGAGGATGTTGCACTGTGGCCGTTCGCTTCAATATGAACCCTGGTACAGTAAAATCATGGTGAGCTCTGGCATCGTTTTCATCCCACTTCAAGTACTGATGTGAAATGTATAACATTGTACATGACAGCTCCATAGACACCACAAGCAAATGTAGCAGACATGACTCGGACTCGTGAGGTAGCCCTGCCTGCGACTTCAGCCCAGGAGGGAATTATCTCTTGGTTTAATGGTCAACCCGGGTTAAGATCCCTGCAGTGTGACACGTACAACCCCTACACTACAGTGTAAACATACATGTGACGATGTCAGTGTATACTGTACATTTACATTTTAGTCATACATTATTTAAGTTTTTTCATCCCAACTGAGCTACATCCCTGCCGGCCCATTCCCTCCCTACCCTGGGACGCACTTGTGTGCGCTGCCCCATGAGTCTCCCGGTCGCGGCCCGGCTACGACAGAGCCTGGATTCAAACCAGGATCTCTAGGGCCACAGCTAGCACTGCAATGCAATGCCTTAGACCACTGCGCCACATCGGGAGGATACTGTACAGGAAACTGTACAGTTTAGTGGTGTGAGCTCCCATAGCAAACAGCAGCTGTCAAGTTACATAGTAATCTCCCCTCCCGTGGCGCGCTGCACGTACTGGCGCCCATGTACAGTGTTCCTTTCAAATGAAGAGATGTCGGTGGTTGTAATGCTAACAGTATGTTAGGGTAGGTGTGTGTGATGAGTGTGGCTCAGGCCAACAGAGCGTCTACCTTCCTACACCAAACTTCAAAAAGTTCAGGCAGGATAAGCTACTAACACAATGCAATTCTACTCAACACTCGCCCATACCAACACTAACCACTCACCTTTGGGTATCACAGGCAGTAGTCGACCGGAGTCACTGGTCGGCCGCAGTCTATCCATGTGGGTGTGTATGCGTGCATATGTGTGTGTGTCAGTGCAGACTCCCATCCGGCTTATTGTTGAGCTTGCGGGCACTCGTTTCTCAAATCTTCTGTCAACCAAACAATCTTCTTTACACACCTCTGTACTTCCTCTCTCATCCTTTTACTTGTTTATTATCCGTATCTCTTCAACAGCTTTCATGAACATCTGTCACCCCTATCTGTTGCTGTTTCAGACACCGTATTCTCCTTTCTTTCTACCAGCAAGCCCTGAATTATTTTAACTGTTTCCTTCTTGCCTTTTATGTTACATATTCCATACTCCCGCTCTTTCAGGCATGTTTATTTCTCTCCTACTCCTGCACCTGTGCTCTCCCCCTCCCTACGCTAATACAGAGTAAATCCTAATTCTCTGCAAAGCTGCTCTCCATCAGTCCCTCCCTCGCTCTCACCCGCTGTGTTGGCAGGCAATACAGTACCACAGTATAAATCGTAATACTCATAAAACCTAGCGGTCAAACAGGGAAATGGTTCCAATCGTTTTTCCACCATTCATTCTTATATGAGATTTTAGAAACAAATGACTTTTCTCAATATATTCGCCTGTATTTACCCCAACAAATGAAATGCTAATTAGCTGCTAATGCGGCTATCATAAAGAACTACAAATGCCATGATGATCTGGACCAGACTGCCGAATCGAGGCAAAGTTAAGAATTAACTATCTAATGTTAGCTAAATGTAGTTATGAATAAATTGGCAACATTTCTTTAAATTGACAATTCTGTGAACTGTCTTGGGCAAGTTTTAAATTTACACAATACCTGTTAGCAAAGGAGTCAGCTAGAGATGATGTGCAGGAGCTTGCAGGGATTTGTAGTTTTGCATGTCGTCTACTTTGACGCTAATTAACATTTTCGAATCTGAGAGTAAATAGAGCCGAATATATTGATAAAAGTCAACCTTGTCCGAAAGCGATTTACATGGTTATCAAAACGCCACACCAGGGTAAGCCTACACGAAACACAGCCCTTATTTTAAGTGTTTCTAAAATCCCCTATGGGAAAAATGAATGGTGGAAAAACGATTGGAACCATTTCCCTGTTTGACCGCTAGGTTTCATGGGGCTCTATAGGCTCCTGGCTTGGTTGACTCGACCGACTACATTCGGCTGACTGAGCAAGGTGTTCTGCTAATCCTTGTACGTGAGGATTTCTTAATGGGTAGTTCTTTAGAATGCAGGATGATTTGTAGATCAGTGGTTCTGCACAGCACCTTGCTCAAACAATTTTAAAGTAGTACATTTCCTTATTATTTTGTGTTTTGAAAAAAGTGTAAGACTAATAATAGGAATCCCCACCCAGTTGACCACTTTAAAAATGGTGGAAGCCCTGTACAGACTAATAACTCCCCTACAGCGAGCAGTGAGGACAGCAGGAAAGAGTGAACTATGATCCTGCCTTTCCAGATTGGAGGAGGGTTTATCTAATGCGTTAAATACTTAAAGATTTCTGCAGCATCTGTTGATCTAACTTGAGGTTTAGCCTCTATGGTCCAATGAGTGTGTGTTTGATACAGCCAGAGGCTAACTGGTAGTAATTAGTCAATGAGTGACAGGAATATTAGGGTTTTATGGTTACTGTCTGGTTGTCTTTAGTTTATAGATATTAAACATTACACGTTTTTTTAGATGTACCTGTTTTTTTAGATGTAGTTAAACAAGCAATAAACCCTCTCAATTTTACTTTTGCTGTTCTAAAATGATGTACAGCCTTCGACGGATATGATAGAAGCTTAGGCTCGCAAGCAGTTTTTGGCAAGCATGCTGTTGGAATTGTGTTCCCCTCTTCCTCGGTATCCAAGCCCAACCTTTCTAACCATCAATAGGATAATCTAGCTAAATTAGACAGGCATGTCAGTCTGTTAGCGCTTCGTCAAACGCAGAACCAGATTTCCATTGTCTTAGTTTCAACCTCAAAGTCTGTTACGCACAATCACCTGTTGATGGTCGGAATTTGGCACCATTAATGCAGTGTTCACATGCCAATCGGACATAGGAAACTCTGACATTTCCGAATTGCTACTGGTTGAACGCGGCACGTGAATAACTACAATCAATTGGGACATTACTGAGTTTCCTAGTTCCGACTAGCACGTGAATGAGGCACAAGGCAAGTCATAAATATGTTCAAGTCATGTGTGGAAGCAAAGTTTTATTTATAATTGGAAACAAAACAAAAGTATCCAAGAGCTAAAAAGTATAAAGACATTTGTCTATGTAAAACAAAACATTTACCAAACTACATCAATTTACAGAGTAGAAACTATGCACTAGGCTATACATAGGTTCTGCCTCAATGGCAATGTCCATGCTAAAATTAGTATATCCATCTCTATGTGTGAAGCAGAGCTCCTCGCTCCCTAAAATCTCCCAGAATGTACTAAAACACCCAACCACCAAAACAGTGAGAAAGAGAGATCCACTAGCTTCAGCTACTCTATAAAAAAGGATTCTCAAACTCCACTGCGTGTGCAGGATTTTGCTCCATCCCTGGTCTAACGCCCCTGATTCTACTAATTGTCTGTTCATCAAAACCTTGATTATCTGAATCAGGTGTGTTAGAGCACTGCCTGCACGACCAGTAGCTCTTCAGCACCAGAGTTGGAGAACCCTGATCTAGACTCTCTCTACCCAAAGGAATCACCATGCTTTAGAAAAGTATAACTTTAATATAAAGTATTTCAACAGTGAATGTAAATATTTTACAGTAATTTACAATTTAGTCAATGTGTTCCAAGGCACTTAAACTGTTCTGCCTCTTGTCCTGAAATATATCCTTCTTCCATTTCTCTGTCCTCACATCACTGAGTTCTCAGTCCACCTCGCAAATCAACACTTGGCCCCAATTGCTTTCACCTATCCAATCCCCTCATATTTAGGCCTACACAAGTTTAGGAGCCAGGAGTTGTTTCTGGAACGCGGATATGTTTCTGTTGGCGCAACTGCTGAGGTTTCCTTTCTGTTGGAGTCTGCAGCTACACATTGTGCCTTTTCAATTCGTTTTTTGTGTATGTGCAGCTGCAGAGTTTCCTTCTGCGTTGCCAAGAGTTTACTTTTCGGTAGTCTTTGCATTCCCCTCTTCCTCGGTATCCAAGGCAACCTGTGGGGAGGGGTTTAGCTTAATCTTCTTGCCCCTCCCCTTCCCCTGAGCTGCTTCCTGTTCCTGTTTACGGTCTGAGGCCCCTGAAGCTGCTCTCTTCCTGTAAGATCCCCTGGGGCCACGCTGGACGCCTCGACCCTTGTGTTGTTTCAGTGGTTTCTTAGGGAGCTGGGTGTCAGTCTGGGTCTCGTTCTGGGTCTCGTTCTGGGTCTCGTTCTGGGTCTCGTTCTGGGTCTCTTGGCAGCACAGCAGGGGCTGGGTTTGAGTCCCTTTGGGGTTGAAGTGGGGCTGGTCTATCACATAGATCCGTTTCAAGGGGGGTAGGGAGGAGAATGGGCCCAGGGGCGTTGTATTGGTGGTAACAGGAGGGTTGACGAGGGACACGGTAGTCTGAAGGGCCGTCCTAGTGGGGGTTTGGTGTGAATGCTTGGTGTTTATTAGACAGGCGATTAGTTGCACCTGGTAGTCGATGAGGGTAGAGAGGATGTCGAAGGTGGCTTCCATCACGCCCGTGCTCATACCGTGGGTCACATTGTCCATCAGACGACTGTTAGCTGGGTCCCTGAAACAACATCTCATCTCCTCTAGCTGGGCTCTGAGAGGGGTGGGGTAGGAGTGAGAGGACAAATTAAACTGACAAATAGGAAGGATTTAAAAAAAAGGAAATATAATCCCAGGATTAAACTGTGATGGGTACATAACTCCCCTATCTATGGGACATATTCAGATGTTAAGATGCTTTGAACTACCAGTAGTAACTGGTATTGATGAATGATGACCTTGGACTCAACATACAAATCTATGAGAGCTTACTTGGTATCGATGATCTTGGACCAGTGCTGCACAGGGTTGTTCTCTTGTATGAGCTGCTCAGCCATGTTGGGGAAGTTGAGGTGTTTGGTAGCTAGGGACTTCATGTCACTACACAGCATTGTGATGTCGCCTGAAGAACACACACACACGTTACAGAAGTTGAGGTAATCATGTTAGGTAGCTAGGGACTTGCCACTACCCAGTGTTCTTGTGTCACCTGGAGAAACTCTCCCTCTCTCTCTTACCCTCGGTGAGCCTGGTGAATGCGCTGGTGATATAGGCAGGGGTCTCGACAGGGGGGATTCCAGCCTTAATCAGGTTTTTCACCAATCTGTTCTTGCTGTCTAGGTCTGCCGGGTTCTTCCCAGTGTACATCAGCAACGTCCTCACTGACATCTTCTCTGGTGCATCCATCCTCCTCAGCACCTATCAATCAATCAATCAATGGGTAAATATCAATAATTGAAATGACCATTGAACAGTCCCAGATCCCAGAGTGTACCTTTAAATTAAAACAATCTATACTGAACTAAAATATAAAACGCAACATGTAAAGTGTTGGTCCCATATTTCATGAGCTGAAATAAAAGATCCCAGAAATGTTCCATACGCACAAAAAGTGTATTTCTCTCAAATGTTGTGCACAAATTTGTTTACATCCCTGTTAGTGAGCATTTCTCCTTCGCCAAGAGAATCCATCCACCTGACAGGTGTGGCATATTAAGAAGCGGATTAAACAGCATGATCATTACACAGGTGCACCTTGAGTTGGGGACAATAAAAGGCCACTCTAAAATGTGCAGTTGTGTCACAGAACACAATGCCACAGCCATTTAGCAGACGCTTTTATCCAAAGCGACTTACAGTCATGCGTGCATACATTATTTTTTTTGTGTATGGGTGGTCCCGGGGATCGAACCCACTACCTTGGCGTTACAAGCGCCGTGCTCTACCAGCTGAGCGACAGAGGACCACACCTGTCAATTGGCATGCTGACTGCAGGAATGTCAACTAGAGCGGTTGGTTACACGTGGTCTGCGGTTGTTTATTTCTCTATCATAAGCCACCTCCAAAGTCATTTTAGATAATTTGGCAGTATGTCCAACCGGCCTCACAACCGCAGACCACGTGTAACCACGTCAGTCCAGGACCTCCAAATCTGGCTTCTTCACCTGCGGGATCGTCTGAGATCAGCCACCCGGACAGCTGATGAAACTGATGAGTATTTCTGTCTGTAATAAAGCCCTTTTTGGGGTAAAAATCGTATTCTGATTGGCTGATTCTGATGGGTGCCCCTGCCCAGTCATGTGAAATCCATAGATTATGGCCTAATGAATTTATTTAAATTGACTGATTTCCTTATATGAACTGTAACTCAGTAAAAGGGTTGAAATTGTTGCATGTTGCGTTTATATTTTAGTTCATTATATATGATGTTTACTATTACCTCTTCTTTGTGGACCAGGTATGGCTGCGGTGCAGGTCTCACATCTCCATGCTGCAGCACAGAGACTACCTCTGCCACGACGGTAGGGGTCTGAGTCTGGGCATCAGTCTTGGTTGGGGCTGCATCCCTGGCTGTCGGAGGCTGGGGCTGGAACTGAACCATCTTCCTAGCCTGCCTTGGAGCATTAGGAGGGTTTGTTGTCCCTGCTGCAGGCTGGGTTTGGGCCTTGACACAGGCTATAATCTGGGATTGAGCTGTGACCCCAGTTGGAGTCTTGATCTGGGACTGTCCTGGCACTTTAAGTGGGTCTATTTTCCCAGCTGTAGTTTGGGGTTGAGTTGTGATCCTGGCTGTAGTTTGGGGTTGGGTCCTGACCCCATCAGAATTCTGGGGCTGAGCTAGTACGTAGATGTGTTTCATAGTGCCTGGTACCTGGGTTTGGGTCGAGTCCCCAGCGGAGAGAGGTTGGGTTACAACAAAGATGTGTTTTGTGGATACAACTGGAGTTCGGGTTGCATCTGCAGCGGTAGTCTGGAATTGTGGCTCTTTGGGAGGCCGCCGAGGCATGGGTACTACGTAGATGCGCTTCTTGGGGACACCGATTGATGTTTGAGATTGGGTCACAACCCCAACTGGAGTCGAGGTCTGAGAAGGCCCTGGGAGTTTGGAGGGGTCCTGTTTTTTTACTTCAAAGAGAAGTAAAAGCATTTAAATCCACAGTAACTGTGTTGTTTTCTAACATGTACTTTGGCCATTTGTTTCAAATTGCAGTATTCATACGTTTATGAACGCGTATTCAGCCAGCACCTCCAAGTTCATGCTAAATGCTCTGCCTTTTCTCTAGTCACAAAAATACAAGCCGAGAGAACCATATACCTACTGGCTCTCTAAAAAGTCAGGTAAACAATTATTTTCTGTGGATATTTGTATCAAATTTCGAGTGGTTGACAACAGACAACTGGTAAACTTCGACAATTTTGCAGAGATAAGTTTCAGACTTTACATCAAGCATTGGTAAAAAAGTCTGATTAATAAGGCAACCTTTAATTCATGCTTCAGACAATTTATAGGGTAGCCATCTACATACCTGCGTTTTTCTCTGCATCCGTGGCCAGATGGATCATATCCTGCCCCTCAGGGATTCTGTTCACTGCAATTAAATTAGATACCTCCTTGGTCACCAGCAAAGCAGGGTTTCTTATCAATCCTGGTCTTGGAGATGTCCTATTATTTTCCAGTACAAACACATTGAATCAGCTAATCAAGGACTGGATAATTAGTTGATACTAGTTTGTCAGGTCAGGTGTGTTAGTGGCAGTGCACAGCTAAAAAGACATGTGCAACCCTTATGGGTTCCTAGAACGAGGGAAGCGTTGCAAGTCAATGCACACGCCTCATCACCACCTTCCCGCCCACCGCATTCAAAACAACTGGGAACTCTTGGGAAAAAATTAGCTCCGACTGTTGAAATCGTTTTGAAGGGTCATCTAGCTCGGAATTCCAAGTCGGAAACTCTGGCATCTTTCTAGAACTCCGACTTTCCGACCCGAAGATCACTGACGTCATGGTTTGACTACGTTTTTTTCAAATTCACATGCCGCGTTCAAAACAACTGGGAACTCTGAAAAATACGAGTTCAAATCATGAGGTCAGTGATCTTCAGGTCGGAAAGTCAGAGCTCTAGAAAGAGGCCCGAGCTCCCAAGTTTGAATTCCGAGTTGGATGACCGTTCAAATCGATTTTTCCCAGTAGGAGCTCTTTTTCTTTCCCCAGAGTTCGCAGTTGTTTTGAACACTCGGAAGTCTGAGATTTCCCAGTTCGCAGTTGTTTTGAACACGGCAACAGTTGTCTTGAAAGCACCATCTCTTCCCCCACTCTGTCTGTGACAGTCCAGACATATCAAAGATGTGTATAACTAACCCAAGATATACCACAGCCTGTCGTTTCCAATGAGAGCAAATTAATCATAGTAGGCAGAACAAGCACTAGCTTGCGAGTTCTTATGGGCGCATTCTAGCCTTATTTGCATATTTCCGTTATGGAACGCCTACCCTGTGAAGTGTGCAATAACTAAATTCACCCTTGCACTCCTAAACAACACCATTTTTTTTTTTACTTTGGCGAAGGGTAAAGTCCACAAAACTTAGTCCACTCTGTTCGTAACAGATTTTAGTTTTGGGAACTGAAAACTGTATTGAGATCAAATGTTTAACTGATGAGAAAATTAGCAGAATGTCAGCCAAAATCCATCTTCTCCCACTGCCGGCCACTGGGCATCCTATGGAAATGCCAACCGGATGCTTCAGATTTATACATCCGGTGAAACAACTGGCTCATCATACCCAACTAGCTAGCTAATTAGCTACAACATGATGCTGACAGGCAATAACTAGCGTATAGCTAACACATAACATGCATGCATTTGAAATGCAAACCGTCACAAATTCGTTAATTTTCTGACTGGCTAGCAAAGCAAAGCGAAGCAAAGCAAACATCACAAACTAGCTATCGCTTGGTAGCTAACGTTAGCTAGCTAGTTAGCTACTTTGCTAGTACTACAGTTAGCCGACTATCTAACGTTAACTATGTTAGTTAACTATTTACATTCCATAAGGTATTTATTACGTTAATATTTACTAAACAATATCCATGCACTTCCAATCGCTAGTAAATGTATGTGAGGGTGAAATTATTTAGCTAGTTACCTGAGGGCTCCATGTTGATGATGTGCGATGATAAGATAACGTTGGTGTGCGGCAAAAACAATCTGCGCTCTGATTGGTTTGACGCTGAAAATAATGATGCACAGTGATTGGCTTGAATCTACAACGATCCAATCGTATCTCTGCCAAGTGAATATAAATGCCGCGTTCAAAACAACTGCCAACTCGGACATTTGGGCATCTTGGTGCTTTCAAGACAACTGTCAGTGATATACAGGTCGGAAAGATGCCCGAGTACCCAGTTGTTTTGAACGCTGCTTCTTTCTAGAGCTCCGACTTTCAGACCTTAAGATCACTGACGTCATGAAGACGTCAGTTGTCTTGAAGACACTAATAGATCCCTGCTGTCTTTGCTGTAACACTAGCCAGTGTCACGGTTTTATTGTAGCATTGCTACATTTTGAGGACACTTGACTAAATAGGTGTTCATATAGGTTGGGAAACACTGGCCAGGTGGTCAGAGTTTGCACTTGCTGAAAAATGATTGCATTTGTTTTGAAACTGTGGTGATACTGATGCTTTGTGGTTTGTTGACAACTGTAGCATTTTAGCTAAGCCTAACCCAGCTATTGACAGAAGTGCACTTACATCAGTGGAGGCTGGTGGGAGGAGCTATAGGAGGACGGGCTGATTAGTAATGGGTGGAATGGAATAAATGGAATGATATCAAACATATGGAAACCGTGTTCGACTCCGTTCCATTAATTCCATTCCTGCCATTAATGAGCCCGTCCTTCTATAGCTCCTCCCACCAGCCTCCTGATTTACATAGCAGATTAGGAGAATTCATGCAGCAGGTTAGGAGAATGAGGTTAAGGTTAGGAAAGGGTTAGGGTTAGCTAAAATGCTACAGTTGTCAACAACTGTTATCCCAGACACAAAAACTTGATGGATCTGTACTGGTAGCCACAACCGTACAAACCACCAGCCTGGACAAACCATCAGTATCATAACACCGGCTTGCCTGTATAAATATGTACACATTATGTGCTTTATCTGCCTTCTCAAGGAAAACTACTTTGAAAAGATGCACCTTGTTTTTGAATGATGCTGCCTTGTTGACAATATTACCGGGCAGAGCAGATTACTATTCAATTTGAGAAGGGCGCTCCTCCCTCATCGCTTTTACCCGGTCACGTCACAGGCCACCCCGGTTCAGCTTAGTCAAACTCCCTCAGTGACATAAATCACATACTACGCCATTGATTCTGTCAGAAATAAAGAAATTCATGCTGGTTAATAAAATTAAAGCTTTAATACAAGTATTTCAGCAATCCAGGTTTCAATACAATCATTGACAAAGTACTGGCTGGATATGTTCCCAATGTTACAATCATGGAGATTGAGAGAGGGCTATAACTGGCCTACTCATTATATCAATAAACTGGGCTATCCAATACCAGATGAGTAGGTGAAATGAAGGGATGGCCTTATCCAAAGAACAGAATTAAGACTCATTTCTACATTGTAGGTTTTTCAATATAATCAGTTCTCTTTCGACTGACTTGATTTCCACTTCAACAAAGCTGCGTTCGTCACCTCTGTGCTGACTGACAAAAAAATCTAACTTCAACTGATTGAATTTATCAGTAGGCAACAGCTGCAACACTCAAAAACTAAACTAAAATTATAAACCAAAATGCTGTGACGTCACTGAACGCCTCCCTCTCAGTGGGGTTCTGTGGGCCAGACCAGAGTTGTGTCTAAACATCACAATGTTCCACAACGTTACTAAGACAGTTCCGCTCCCAGCTTCCCCACCGGAAGAAATGTTTAGCGAAGTCCGAAACCTGTGTTAAGCATTGCTTGTTTAACCGTTAAACGTCTTCAAATCTGTCCTGTGGTGTTGAAGCCGCTGGAGATGGTCTCATAACCAACGGAGACGAGTGTGAGAACACTGCTCTCCACATCCTCCGGCTGACAATGCTCTTGATCCTGCTGCTGGGTTGTATCCATGGCAACACCAACCGGAGCTCCAGACTCCTGCAGCCGCACCTTCTTCCTGCCTCTGCCCCTTCCTTTGCCCTTCCCTGCCCCTTTCCCTTGACCTTTAACAACGCCCGCCGACCGGTGCGGTTTGTCGTTGCCTCGGGGCTTGCGCTGACGGCGGCGCATGCGTCTCATTGGCGGGCCGGTGTCGACGGGATCGGTTGCTGCGGCGCCGGACAGGATGCGAATTTGTTTGTCGATCACCATGGTGATCATGTCGAGGGCGGCGTCGAGCATCCCGAGGCCCAGGCCGTGAGTCACGTTGTCGAACAACGCACTGTTGACCGGGTCACGGAAGCACTTCCTCATCGCCTCCAGGTGGCTCCTATCCCAGAACAAAGATGTGTTAGGGTTTGTCTCACTGTACAGAAAACGTATAGATCATAGTCAACTCATGATTACACCGTGCTGTAACCACACTAACCTGGTTTCTATAACCTTGGACCAGTGTTGGACAGGGTTGGTCTCTGGTATAAGCTGCTTGGCCATGTTGCCAAAGTCCATGTAGTCATGGGCAAAGTCCTTCATGTCGTTATACAGGGCTTTGGTGTCACCTGGAAAACACAACAACAATCTTAAAGCACGAGAGATGCACACACACGCACGCGCACACGCACGCACACACGCGCTTACCCTCTGTGAGCTTGGAAAAGGAGGAAGACACAGATGTAGTAGTGCTAGGAGTAAGGCCCAGTATATTTAGAGACTCCTGCAGGGTTTTCTTGCTGGCCGGGCCACGGCTGACCCTGGTGTAGGCTGCTAGCGAACGCAGAGACATCTTCTCTGGAGCCTCCAGACGACGCTTGATCTCGTCATAGGGAATCAGGTACTTACCTAGGACCAGAGGAACAACAGATGAATGATCAAATTGTGTTGAATTTTCCACTTATTCCATACTACAGCAGGTGAGGCCAACCTTCCACCTGGAGAGCTACTGGGTGTGCAGGGTTTTGCTCCAGCACTGCTCTAACAACTGATTCAGGTAATCATGGTCCTGAGGAGCAGTTGATTAGTAGAATCAGGTGTGTTTGAGTAGTAGTGCCGGAACATCCTGCAGGAAGAGAGGTTTCCAGTAGGAGGGGCCACCCCTGGCCTAATTCCCTCCATCTCTGGCTGTGGTACTTACGGGCCTTGGAACTCTTCATGTTGGGGTCCAGGAGAGACGACACCTCTGCAAATGGAACATGGGGTACGTGGTTGTGGTTTGGAGCGGCAACCTGGGTCATGTCCCCTGCCGGGATCTGAATCTGGGCTTGCATCTGGTTCACGTCCCCAATTCGCTGCTGGTCCTGTCCCTGTCCATCCCCCAGCACCATGGAGGGGAGGTTGGATAACCCTGGTAACCCTGTCAGCCCCCCGACCATTATCTGCTGCGACCCCCCATGTCCTACAGAGTTGGTCTGTTCTGAGGAGACTTGGAAGATGCCCATGACAGGCTTAACCACTCTGAACACCATGTTGCCCTGGGAGTCCACCCCCGCCAGGCTGGGATTTGGTTCCATTTGCTCTGATGTCACTTCCTCTTCACTTCCTGGGTGACTGTTTTGTGCTGAGAGTTTCTCCTGAACCTTTCTGTATTTGTCGCAGTGTCAGTTTTGGGTAGTCTATAAGACAGAAAAAACACAAACGGGGGTCTACAGAGTAATGGTCATCATCAATAAACTATTGCAATAATAAAAATAACAGAAATATCTGTGATTCCCCAAGTACCTCAACTCAACAATTAATTCATCCAGACTAGAGTTTTCTTTTTATGAACCTCTGTCTCATCGAGTCGCTATGCAGTCGATACTTCACAAATGTGAATTCTTAAACCCTTACGTGTACCCGTTTGTCCGCCGTTGTTGTGTGCCTTTGTTTGCTGAAATCCATACCTTTTAATAAAACGTTAATCAAATACAACCACCGACTGTTTCCTGGTTGATGTTCAATTGGCGCGTGCAGCGTTGCCATTTTAGAGCAACAGCAATGAGGAAAAACTCGGTGGTTGTTTTTCATCAACGTTTTATTAAAAAGTACGGTTTTCAGCACACAAAGAAAGGCACGCAGAGGAGAAACATAGGTACATGATACGGGTTTAAGAATTCACACTTTTGAAGTATCGACTGCTTGGCGAGTCGGAGGTTCGTTTGAAAAACCCTAGTCTGCGCACAACTCCGTGAATCATCGTGGAGTTGAGCTACTTGACTACGATTTAAATAAATAATTACCACCAGTCGCAGATATGTATCCTCTTTCCCACCCTCTCCAATTCAGCAATGTATATTACTTATATTTAATATTCTATTCTGGTAAATAATGAATGTCTATAACATGTATATGACATATTGTGGGCTCATAATAAGAACGTTTTGTCATCATGCAAAAAACAACATTAGGAGTTTTGACGTCACATTCTAAATCGCCCTCTTTTGGTCACCCGCGCGCTCGGCTGCTTAAGCGCACACCCGAGGCGCTCCAGCCGTGCTTCGCAAGCAAACTAGGTATTTTCTATATGGCAGGACACCTGCTTCCTATGTAAATCCAACACGATGCATTCATTTAAATACTCAGATGATAGATTGGGCCCAATAAAGTTTGTTACATGTCCACAGTAACTGCTCCCATTGCAAATTACCCGAACCACAGTCACAATTACTTTTAGTGAAATGTGAACCGTCAATATTCGCTGTCTTCGTCTAAACCTAAACATGGCTGGCTAGGCCTCAAAGGGGGAAGGTTGCGCCTTTGATTAGGCCGAAGCAACGTGATATACAATATAATACAACAAATTCATAACAGGTTGTACAACATTTTCCCTCTAACCTTCACTGCAGTGCAACTAGTGAGGGTTTTCCGACTCACCACTTTGCTGTTTGCGTTTTCCTAACGGCCAGCTGATCCTAGAACGGTGCGTGTGGAGACAGGAGACATTTTCCTTCTTCTCCAGATCTGTTTCGGCGGGTTGCAAATCAGCTCTAGATCTTTTTCTTCTTCTTCGATAAGGTTTAACGGCGGTTGGCAACCAATAAATGTTGCATTACCGCCACCTAATAGACTGGAGTATAACTCCCTTATACTTTGCTTGAAAAATACATAAATAGACAAATACCCTACCATCTAAAACTACACTCAATAATATATATATATATATATATATATATATATATATATATATACGGTACCAGTCAAAAGTTTGGACACATCTACTCATTCAAGGGTTTTCCTTAATTTTTTACTATTTTCTACATTGTAGAATAATAGTGAAGACATCAAAACTATGAAATAACACATATGGAATCATGTAGTAACCAAAAAAGTGTTAAACAAATCAAAATATATGCCATATTTGAGATTCTTCAAAGTAGCCGTCCTTTGCCTTGACGACAGCTTTACACACTCTTGGCATTCTCTCAACCAGCCACCTGGAATGCTTCTCCAACAGTCTTGAAGGAGTTCCCACATATGCTGAGCACTTGTTGGCTGCTTTTCCTTCACTCTGCCATCCGACTCATCCCAAACCATCTCAATTGGGTTGAGGTCGGGGGATTGTGGAGGCCAGGTCATCTGATGCAGCACTCCATCACTCTCCTTCTTGGTCAAATAGCCCTTACACAGCCTGGAGGTGTGTTGGGTCATTGTCCTGTTGAAAAACAAATGATAGTCCCACTAAGCGCAAACCAGATGAGATGGCATATCGCTGCAGAATGCTGTGGGAGCCATGCTGGTTAAGTGTGCCTTGAATTCTAAATAAATCACTGACGGTTGTTTAACACTTATTTGGAAACTACATGATTCCATATTTACATTTTTACATTTGAGTAATTTAGCAGACGTGCTTATCCAGAGCGACTTACAGTTAGTGAGTGCATAATTTTTTTTTCATACTGTGTTATTTCATAGTTTTGATGTATTCACTATTATTCTTAAATGTAAAAAATTGTAAAAATAAAGAAAAACCTTTGAATGAGTACAGTGGGGAAAAAAAGTATTTATTCAGCCACCAATTGTGCAAGTTCTCCCACTTAAAAAGATGAGAGAGGCCTGTAATTTTCATCATAGGTACACGTCAACTATGACAGACAAATTGAGATTTTTTTTCTCCTGAAAATCACATTGTAGGATTTGTAATGAATTTATTTGCAAATTATGGTGGAAAATAAGTATTTGGTCACCTACAAACAAGCAAGATTTCAGGCTCTCACAGACCTGTAACTTCTTCTTTAAGAGGCTCCTCTGTCCTCCACTCGTTACCTGTATTAATGGCACCTGTTTGAACTTGTTATCAGTATAAAAGACACCTGTCCACAACCTCAAACAGTCACACTCCAACCTCCACTATGGCCAAGACCAAAGCGCTGTCAAAGGACACCAGAAACAAAATTGTAGACCTGCACCAGGCTGGGAAGACTGAATCTGCAATAGGTAAGCAGCTTGGTTTGAAGAAATCAACTGTGGGAGCAATTATTAGGAAATGGAAGACATACAAGACCACTGATAATCTCCCTCGATCTGGGGCTCCACGCAAGATCTCACCCCGTGGGGTCAAAATGATCACAAGAAAAGTGAGCAAAAATCCCAGAACCACACGGGGGGACCTAGTGAATGACCTGCAGAGAGCTGGGACCAAAGTAACAAAGCCTACCATCAGTAACACACTACGCCGCCAGGGACTCAAATCCTGCAGTGCCAGACGTGTCCCCCTGCTTAAGCCAGTACATGTCCAGGCCCGTCTGAAGTTTGCTAGAGTGCATTTGGATGATCCAGAAGAGGATTGGGAGAATGTCATATGGTCAGAGGAATGGGCCAAAATACCAGCAACAGTGTGTGAAAACCTTGTGAAGACTTACAGAAAACGTTTGACCTGTGTCATTGCCAACAAAGGGTATATAACAAAGTATTGAGAAACGTTTGTTATTGACCAAATACTTATTTTCCACCATAATTTGCAAATAAATTCTTTAAAAATCCTACAATGTGATTTTCTGGATTTTCTTTTCTCATTTTGTCTGTCATAGTTGACGTGTACCTATGATGAAAATTACAGGCCTCTCTCATCTTTTTAAGTGGGAGAACTTGCACAATTGGTGGCTGACTAAATACTTTTTTTCCCCACTGTAGGTGTGTCCAAACCTTTGACTGGTACTGTATATATACAGTGAGGGAAAAAAGTATTTGATCCCCTGTAAGTTTGCCCACTGACAAAGAAATTATCAGTCTATAATTTTAATGGTAGGTTTATTTGAACAGTGAGAGACAGAATAACAACAAAAAAATCCAGAAAAACGCATGTCAAAAATGTTATAAATTGATTTGCATTTCAATGAGGGAAATAAGTATTTGACCCCCTCTCAATCAGAAAGATTTCTGGCTCCCAGGTGTCTTTTATACAGGTAACGAGCTGCGATTAGGAGCACACTCTTAAAGGGAGTGCTCCTAATCTCAGTTTGTTACCTGTATAAAAGACACCTGTCCACAGAAGCAATCAATCAATCAGATTCCAAACTCTCCACCATGGCCAAGACCAAAGAGCTCTCCAAGGATGTCAGGGACAAGATTGTAGACCTACACAAGGCTGGAATGGGCTACAAGACCATCGCCAAGCAGCTTGGTGAGAAGGTGACAACAGTTGGTGTGATTATTCGCAAATGGGAGAAACACAAAAGACCTGTCAATCTCCCTCGGCCTGGGGCTCCATGCAAGATCTCACCTCGTGGAGTTGCAATGATCATGAGAACAGTGAGGAATCAGCCCAGAACTACACGGGAGGATCTTGTCAATGATCTCAAGGCAGCTGGGAGCATAGTCACCAAGAAAACAATTGGTAACACACTATGCCGTGAAGGACTGAAATCCTGCAGCGCCCGCAAGGTCCCCCTGCTCAAGAAAGCACATATACAGGGCCGTCTGAAGTTTGCCAATGAACATCTGAATGATTCAGAGGAGAACTGGGTGAAAGTGTTGTGGTCAGATGAGACCAAAATCGAGCTCTTTGGCATCAACTCAACTCGCCGTGTTTGGTGGAGGAGGAATGCTGCCTATGACCCCAAGAACACCATCCCCACCGTCAAACATGGAGGTGGAAACATTATGCTAAGGGAGTGTTTTTCTGCTAAGGGGACAGGACAACTTCACCGCATCAAAGGGACGATGGACAGGGCCATGTACCGTCAAATATTGGGTGAGAACCTCCTTCCTTCAGCCAGGGCATTGAAAATGGGTCGTGGATTGGGTATTCCAGCATGACAATGACAAAAAATTAACTGTTAATTTGCTACGTGAGGCTTATTTGATCTAATAGACATTTCATAATGGTTAGGTTGTTACCAATACACTGATATAAGTGGATGCATGTGGCATTTCAGCAACTTTATATCAGAGTTGTGCCTGTTGTTATAGAGATAAAGGACTCATCATGGACATAACCCATTTTAGCATGGACACTGCCATTTTGGGCTTCCACCATTTTAAAGTAGTCAACTGGGTAGGTTTTCCTATGAGCTAGAAGCAATCAGCCAATAAAGAAAAACAAAATGGACTACTTTAAAATGTATATAACCTCAATAGCGCTGCCCATGCTGTCACAGATGCTATAATGGTGTATCCGGTGTGAATTGGCTAGCTAGTTAGCGGTGCGCGCTAGTGGCATTTCAGTCGGTGACATCACTTGCTCTTAGACCTTGAAGAAGTTGTTTCCCTTGCTTTGCATGGGTTGTGGCTTTTGAGGAGCAATGGGTAACGATGCTTCGAGGGTGACGGTTGTTGGTGTTCAGAGGATCCTAGGTTGGGGCGAAGAGATCGAGGGACAGAAGCAACACTCTTAAATTGTTGTGATGCAAAAATTCTAGCAAAATGTATAGCGCATAGAATTAAAAAGGTATTGTCGGACATTGTTCATTCTAATCAGACAGGTTTTTTACATGGAAGATACATTGGATATAATATAAGGCAAGTACTGGAAACAATAGAACACTATGGAAAATCTGGGAAACCAGGCCTGCTATTCATAGCAGACTTCGAAAAGGCATTTGATAAAGTACAACTGGGGTTTATATATAAATGCCTGGAGCATTTCAATTTTGGAGAATCTCTCATAAAATGGGTTAAAATCATGTATAGTAACCTTAGGTGTAAAATAGTAAATAATTGCTATTTCTCAGAAAGTTTTAAACTGTCAAGAGGAGTGAAACAAGGTTGTCCACTATCGGCATATCTATTTATTATGGCCATCGAGATGTTAGCTATTAAAATCAGATCCAACAATAATATCAAGGGATTAGAAATCCTGGGCCTAAAAACAAAGGTGTCATTGTACGCTGATGATTCATGTTTTCTTTTAAATCCACAACTTGAATCCCTCCACAGCCTCATAGAGGATCTAGATACATTTTCTAACCCCTCTGGATTACAACCAAATTATGATAAATGTACTATATTATGTATTGGATCACTGAAAAATACAATCTTTATATTACCATGTAGTTTACCAATAAAATGGTCTGATGGTGATGTAGATATACTCGGAATACATATCCCAAATGAAATAAATGATCTCACTCCAATAAACTTCAATAGAAAGTTAGCAAAAATAGATAAGATCTTAATACCATGGAATGGTAAATACCTGTCAATTTGTGGAAAAATCACCCTGATTAACTCTTTAGTATTATCCCAGTTTACCTATTTGCTTATGGTCTTGCCTACGCCTAGCGAATCGTTTTTAAAATTATGAGAAAAAAATATTCAATTTTATTTGGAACGGCAAACCAGACAAAATGAAACTAGCCTATTTATATAATGAATATGAATTCAGAGGACAGAAATGATTAAATATTAAAGCATTAGACCTATCACTAAAAGCTTCAGTTATACAAAAGTTATACTTAAATCCGAACTGGTTCTCTAGCAAATTAGTAAGATTGTCTCACCCAATGTTCAAGAATGGCCTTTTTCCCTTTTCAGATTACAACCTCTCACTTTCAGTTATTTGAAAAG